AAAATTTATTTTGACAAAAAAATAATGCCGGAATTCCTTTATATGTACAGAACAAGGCTGGTTTGGTTGGATGCATGAAGGTTAAAATAATAATTATTGTTTGATAAGTTTTCGCAACTTGGTCAGATTGGCAGGAAGACCTAGAGGGACACACTTAGTCCGAAGTCTTAAAGTAATCTAGGAAATTATCTTATTTTAAGAGAAATTAAACTATTAGTCCTTAACCCACCATAAGCGACCTAGGGCGACTACGTTGTCATCATGAGATGCGTTTACCATATTTCGTCAGGATGATAAGCAGACTAGTAGTTAAAATTCCCCACAATGATATGAGTAGACCTTATATTTTTATTGAATTTCACAGCCTTGCTTTCCCAAAGGTATTCTCATCTAGATTGGACTGCAGTCTCAATTTCGCCATGGTCTTATTAACTAGTCCAGCGGGACTCTAACCATGACAGTGCCAAATGGCACTCGTGGCAGTGGCGTAGTGGTTAAGGCGTTGAGATCATATACTGCACTATCATGGTTCGAGTAACATTGGGGGTGCTGATAAGGCTTAAACAAGATTAAAACAGCAGCCCATCTTGGATGAGGATACTTTTTGGAAAAACAAAGCTATGTGAAATTCACTGAGAACGTAGGGTCTACTAATATAATTATGGTAAAATTCAACTAACTCTTCTTTTTTCAGCTCAAGCGAAATAGGGTGAATAGACCTCATGTATGCTATTTACAGGCAGTCTCTAAAGCCTATTTATTAAGGAAAAATAAATGTGTTTGGTTCGTTTATTATTTTGTTTATCACAACTTGATGAAACAATGTTTTAATAGAAATCTATTTTTTTTTATCAGTAGCTTTTGAGACTACCAGCAGATGCGATATACGAGATACATTCACCCAGTTTCATAGCATTTTGGGAAAATTCAACTACCAGTTCGCATATCACCTTAAAATAAATAGGGTAAACACACCTTATATATATGAACACATTTAACCCACGAGTTGTTGAGATCACGTTTATAGTTAGCTAGTATATAATGAATGTTGTCTAGTTTAAAGGGTAAAACTAAGCATTTGTACTAATCTAGATATTGTTCCGCTACTGAAAAAGGTAGGAAACTATGAATATATAAGTATTCCAGCGAATATGTGACTACATTTATTCAAATACACAGTCCATACACCCAAAACATCAAATTAATTAGACTCAAACTTTCATAGCACCGTCTAAGTAGCATAGAAAATGCGATTGGGGTTTAATGAAATTCGAAATATGGATATTTCGAGGACAATTAATTTTAATTAATCTCGTTTCTTCGTACCTCACTCATAAGTCAATAGATCATGGCTCGCTAAAATGCAAAAATAAAAAGTGTTTGTTGAACTGGAGCTACTTTTGCAGGATAAGTGAATGACAACCAATTAATGATAAAACAAATTTCTTAATAAACAATCCATATCACTAAACAGATAAATCAGCCCTTAGTGCCAATGCAGGAATTAAAATATAATTCTGTTCTAGCATGAATAATTTTCGTACTCACCGAAGCCTTGAGAGAGGATCTATTGTAACAAAGGAGCCTCGATCCCAAATCATATCAAACTTAGGTTCAGCAGTCCTAAAATAAAATCTCGCACGTTACAAATAGTTAGAAAGATTTGTTTTTCTAAATCGGATAATTTAAAAACAAAATTAGTAGAAAGCATAAGTTAGTACAATATAAATTGAATTTAACATTTTTATATGAGTAACTCATTTTATTTTAGCTATATTAATGACAAAAGGTGAGTGGGGGTAGAGGTATGTTGCCCCCCTTGAAGGCGGAATTCGAGTCCCCTAAAAGTTCGTCACTCAAACTTGATTATGAAAACAAATCTTGAAAGAGTTATCATCTGTATCAGACCAAGATATTATGTGCCTTTGTCTTTATGCAAAATATAGGAAGAGCAGGAAATCAAGTATCAAAAGAAAACCGAGAGAAGCAAGTGTTAAAATGGTTTATTCATCTACTAATTAGTGAGCAGGACGATCGAAGCTTATTAGGGCCCAACTGAAAGCTTGTATTATATTATGCTATAACGATTTTAGAAGTCTGAAGGTAATCTTATTTATTAAATGTTTCGTGAAGCTAGTTAATGTGTCGATTTTCAGTCTAAAGAGCTATTTTATGAAAGATAATCAAAGGGAGACAGCCGGCCTGGAAATGGATTAGCAACTTGGACGGCGGCGGCAAGATGCGCCAATGCTACTAGGTTGTGTTTTCGAGGCCTTCTGAACACATGTTCATTGCGGAAAAATAGTGAGAATGAAGCAAATTTTTCACTGCAGACAGCTGTATCCTACGCCGAGGTGATATAATATACCTAAATAGGAGTTATTACGCTACCACGGCGTATACGCTTGCGAAGAGGTTATGCTGCTTGTGTAGTAGGTAGATGGTAAATAAGACCCAATCATAAAACAAAATAAGGTCAATCAAGAACTTTATATATATACATGCATATATTATGGCTCGAGCAAATAAATAAATGTAAATGAGTGGATGAATATAAGAAGATGAAAGTAAGGAGATAAATTCTTTAAAGGTCGTTGCCATCTGAATTGCAACATGAGCCAATTTGTGTAAAAGGAGGCCGTGTGGTATTGTTGAAAGAAACTCATTATCTTGTCTGAATATGATTAGTAGTAGAATCAGGTAAACTCGAAATTCTCGTTTCGACTTCGTTTTCGCAACTTGGTAGGAGCGTCAGGGAGACAGTGTAGAATGAACTAAGTCCTGTGTCCACTGCCATAGTATTCGTGATTTCCAGATTCGACCATTAGCTGAGTACATTCCCAAACGTTTAGCCGGCATCGTCACTGAGAGGTGCCATCATCAGCACATAGTTACAACTTATCAACTGGACAGGTGAAGGCAATCCCCTTGACCGATTTCCTGTTCAACATTTGTGGCATCACTCCTCACCCATATTTTTGTTCCACCTTCTAGTGCTGCATCCCTTTCTCACAACCACACTTAATATGGCCCATCTACTTGTTCACACAATTCTGTGCTCTCGTCTCCTCCATTGTCGCCTAAGAGTGTCGCTATAAGCGGGGTTATTGAAACTGAATCATCTCCACCACTGGCACCAGGTGACGTTGGCAGGGCTCCTGACCTGCACTTAGACCCCATTCTCCTACCCCGCTTATCAAGTAGTCGTTGCTAAATATCCAAATTATTTGTACGTAGAAAAACTGGGTTCCGAAGAATCCCTTAATAGATTGGCGTTGGAGTAGCTTCCAGTTCGTTTTAAGAGGCAAGTGGAAGGGATTCGTAAGTTGCTTCCATCGAAGGCCATGTGGGGGTTGCCTTGGAGCTGTCGTCGTGCGAATAGGCCCTCGGCGCACCACCCCCACAGCCTCAAGTTGAACCAACTTACGAATATCTTCCATTCTCATATTCAAACGAAATGAAGGGTACTCCAACATCTAAATTATTGTCTGATTGTCTGAAATCTGGTTGTCTAAGAGCCTTCAATTCCCATCGCCGATTATACCATTTTCAAGGATTTAGAGCAGATGATGCCAATGCCTAATAATCTTCTTCATCTTAGGCTTCAAACCCATTACTCAGTAATCCCAACACACAAAGTGTCTCATTCTTTAGAGCCCTGTGTCTGGCTCAAATCATAACCGCTGGTGTGAAAATGCACCGCTTTCCTTTTTTACCCCTGAATCACGAAAAGCACATTCATATTGTCCTTCAAGTTGACACCTCCATCTAATCTTAGCGTATTAGGATGTTCGCGTGTTAGCTGGCATACCCCACGGTCAAGCGTGTCATCAATCACCTTCCATTAAGACAAACACAGATGGGAGAATGGTGGACCCCGAGGCAGGCCCAATATTTGCTTAGATAGGGACGTTGAACATTAAATAGGTATTTATTATTAATTAATTAAACGGGTTAGGGACCCTTTATGGATTCGCTCCGTCGCCAGGATGTCATCTTCTTTTTCCAAGACCTCAATGCTTTTTCTCAGATGCATCAAGGCTCACCAAAAGTTCGTTCTCTTTCAAATTGATGCCTTTGATTCCTTGGCAAAATTCGTATAAGTTCGTCACTGTAGTCGATTATCTTTCATTCCCTTTCTTTAATTTAAGGCAGATAAATTTCGTCAATTTATGTGTTGGTCCATGTTTGATGTTGATTATTAGTCTCTTTTTTTATACCTTCGACAAACAATATGCTACTGGGGCTCTTGTATCCTTTCGTATGGGTGATTTCATTGTAAATTTGTCGATTTACCCTTTCATATTCAGAAACATGGACCAACACATAAATTATCGAAATTTATCATAAAAATCAAAGGCACCCATTTGAAATAAAACGAACTTTTGGTGAGCTTTGATGCACAGGATAAAAAGCATTGACGAGACTACTGGACTTCTTCGAAAAAGAAGATTACATTCTGTAGATGGAGCGAATCCATAATCTCTAACCCGATTAATTAACGTAACAAAAATAAATACCTATTTACCGTTCAACATCCCTATCTAAACAAATATTTGACCTCCCTAAGGGCTCACCATTCTCACCTGTGCGTTTGTGTCTTAATGGGAAGTGATTGATGAGACGCTTGACCATGGTCGATACCAGCCAACACCTAAACATCCTAGTACCCTAGGATTATATGAAGGTGTGAACTTGAAGGACCATAGGAGTGTACTTTTCGTGATTCAAGACAAAAAGAGAAGCTGTGCATTTTCACAACAGTCGTTATCATTTGAGACGGACACGTGGCTCCAAAGAATGAGACACATTGTGTTGGGATTACTGAGTAATGGGTTTAAAGCCTAAGATGAAGAATATTTTCAGGCATTAGGATCATATGCTCTAAATCCTCGAATATGGTGCAAACGGGGATGGGAATTGAAGGCTCTTAAACAGCCAAATTTAAGAGCCAGACAGTAATTTCAGTGTTTAGCAGCGACCGATTGACAAACGGCGTGAAAGGAAGTCTAAATGCAGATCAGGAGCCCTGTAAACGGCACCTGGTGCCGGTGGTGGAGGATATTAAGCTTCAATAAACACACTTGTAGCGACACACTCTTAGGCGATAATAGAGACGAGAGCATAGAATTGTGTGAACAGGTGGATGGACCATATAAAATGACGTCGAGAGGAAGATGTAGTACTAGAAAGTAGAACAAAAAATATGGATGAGAAGTGATGTCACAAATGTTGAACAGGAAATTGGTCAAGGGGATTGCCTTCACCTGTTACTTTGATAAGTTGCAACTCTCTGCTGATGATTGTACCTCTCAGTGTCGATGCCGGTGAAACGTTTGGGAATGTACCAAGTCATTGGTCCAAAGCAGGAAATCGCGAATACAATGGCAATGGACACATGACTTGGTTCACTCTACAATGTCTCCCTGATGCTCCTACCAAGTTGCGAAAACGATGTCGAACCAACACTATAAAGCTAAAGGAGACTGCGACCGAACGAAAGCCACACGATCATGATCTTTATACCTAGAATTTAAATTCTTAGATAGAACAATTGAAATTACAAAAACTATTAAGCAAATATGTATGAGTGAGCATTGCCGCGTAAAGCCAAATTCAAAAAATACAGATGATCTCCACATAAGTATGCGCTGCTTAAATAAAATCAAGTCATCATGCGTGCATCCAATAGTCAGAAAATGTACTAAATCATTGACCAATCGTTACCCCTTATATAATATAAGAAACTATTGCGCTCAGGAAGCCCATTTGTGGAGTCAAAGTTAATGGTGAGTGAAGAGATCAAAACTAGCCTTAGCCTTAGCTTGCTTTCTCCCCGCGTATGGGAATCTCTAAACAATTAAGAAAATTTGCTGAAATAAATGATTCAATGGACCCAAAGATTGATAAAAAGCACAAATTCCCTAATCAGAAGAGAAGTACTAAATTATGGTTTCATACGACCATAAAACGAAAATTATGTGAGTACGTAAATATAAATGAGTTAAGAAAAACCCACTCATCCATTTTGTAAATATCCAGGAGGTAAATGTTCATCCTACTATCAGCAGACTAAAAAACGATTCCGATAAACTAATAAAACACATCTATATAAAATACCTGCAGTAACTGGCATTCCGAGCCGTCTTTCAAGTTAGTAGAAGTGAATTTCAGCTCAAT